CATAAGTCAAATGTCCCTCACTAGGAAACATTAAAATTTTTAAATTAATAACTATAAAAAAACTATTCACAATTGTTTTTTATTATCTAAATCATTAATTTATAGTATTTCCTAACTTTTGTCCCTATTAAAGTAAAGAGTCATGAATTTTGTCCCTCAAAAAAGGACATAAGTGATCTGTGAAATTTTATATGCTAAATACTTTAGGAACCTACCATTAGTCATGGGTAACTTGAAAACACGCTACTACTACCATATTGATGTTATAGGTTGATTACTCTTCAAGAGTTTCATCGGTTCAAAGCATAGTGCCTATTCCTTTATTGCTTTCAGTATCTCTATATTGTGATCCTTATCTATCAGTTTTTGTCTTTTTCTTCTATATCCTATCCAGTATGGGATCTTCTACTGGTGTTCTTTTGGGTGATAATAAATCGGGGGTTTTGGAGAGCTCTAGGATATAATAAAAATAAATGAGTACTGGGATATTAGGGACCCATCATCCAACAATCTGTTCTTCTTTATTATTGGATAACTCCAGCCTAGAAAGGAGAATCTTGATACTTCCAACATGTACCTTGTTGAACTTGATAAATATCATGCTGTTTTCTCCAAAGTACTATCATCAATAGAGATTAAGCCATTTGTCTAATGTCCCATTGTGACATATTCTTTAGCTATCTGTGATCGTTCAACTGCATATTGATATTGTTAATTAGGTACGAATAATCCTAAGATTTCCCTGATCTTCCAATATTCATGCTAATAAAGAATAGGCGTAGCACTTTTAAGGCATCATTCTCATTATGTATTTCTTTGAACCTAGTTTTCTTTTTTCTTTCTTGATAGAGAGGAGAGAAGAATATGTTCTTTCTCTTTTATTTAGTCAAAGATGTAGGAGTTGACAGTATTCATTATCTATTCGCACCAAGGTATAATATAATGACTTATGGTGGATCTCGGGTTCTTATGGAGCTGAGAAAATGCATTTAAAACATATGAGATGACCAATAGGAGCTTGTTTATTAATCTTGTCCAATGTGTTTCGTGTCAATCAATCAAAGTTGATGAGATTCGTGCTACCCAAAATTTCAGATCAAGCTGAGGTAGGCAAAATTCTTCAAAAAGTCGTGAAAAAGGTAGCTCTGAAAGGCTATAACACCAGTCAAAGGATAGAAAAGTGAGTCCTTTGACTGGGATAGAATCTCAATTATCTCTACCATAACTGAAAAGTGAGAGATACTTCAGCATTGGTCCTTCTTTCTTTAGAAACTTTCTTATCATAGGTAGTAAAGGTGAGAGCTGAGCTTTGCAGGTCACAGGAGTTCAGTTTGTTCAAAGGAGATTGTAAATAAGAAAGAGAAGAGAAAAGTGATAGAGTTCTGAAGGAACTCTTGAGTTGATTTAAAGAAAGTGATAAGACTTTATTAGCATAAAAGTATCAAAACTTCTTGTGAACATCTTTTTTGTGTGTGGTCAGAGGATCAGCAGAAAGAGTTATATCAGTAATAAAAGATAAAAAATATATATATTGTATATACTTTTATATATTTTTTTTTATTTTATATTTTTGCAGATAATGATGGGTTCTTAAAGTATTTAGCATATAAAATTTTGAAGATTATTTATGTTTCTTTTTAAGAGACAAAATTTATAGTTCTTTATTTTAATAAGAACAAAAGTTAGTAAATACTATAAATCAATAATTTAAATAATAAGAAACAATTGTGAATAGTTTTTTTATAATTATTAATTTAAATATTTAAATATTTTCTAGTGAGAAATATTTGATTTTTGTTTCTATTTTTCTTTTTACACTAGTTGAAATTATGTCATTCAGTTGCCAAATTATTGCTGAATTTGGCAAAAATTAATAATAAAAAGGTTGATAAATTATTTATAATTGCTACTCCTTGGCATTAAAAATATCAACATACTGAGAAAAAAAAATTTAGCACAAAATCTAGTAATATTGTGACAAAAAAAAAATTTTGCATACTGCATTAATTCTTTCTTTGAAAATTATTTTTTTAAAAGCAATTCCACTTGAATATATTAGTCAAATATAAATTTGATTACAATATTTCCTTTTTTCTTTTATCAATCTATTCTTTTATAGTTTCTTGTATTTCAGTGACTGGTAGAATATTCAATAATGATAATCTATTAGTAATAAAGTAGTGAACTAGAAGAATATTTATTCAAAGATCATCATGAAATAAAATATTGTTTCCAAGGTCAAACTTAAAATCTATTATTACATATAATAAGTTTATTAAATTTGATAGAAATATTTAATTGTAACCTGATTGCAGATATACAAAAAAAAAAGATTAAGCTTGAATTAATTTATGGATTTAAATAATAGTCTATTTATATTATTTTAACTAAAAACTTAATTTTATGAAATTGATAGAAAAAAATCAATTATTAAAATATCTATCTTTGATATTATCTAAGATTGTTATTATTATTTTTTAATTTCAAAGCAATAAGTATATATTGTAACTATATAAATTTGATAAAAATATCCGCTTTAAAATAATAAACTCGTTCTGTTTTTTTATTGACAGGTACAGTATTAAATATATCTGTTATTTTTTAGCTATAAAGCTTCGGACAGAACAATGGTATAAAAAAATTTTTTTTTTTTTTTGACTAAAATAAATATGTTAATTGAAATATAATTAATATATCTCATAATAAATAAATATCATATGAACGTTAATTGCGAATACTTGGTTTTTGTATAGATTATAATATACGATAAAAAGACTTCCATCTTTGCCATTCTCATTTAGGTCCCGTTATAGCTGGTTACGCAAGAACATGAAAAACGAGAAATGACACTTGGGCTTAGGAAACATCATCGAGTAGATTATACTAGATCAGCTGACTACTAAGCCCCCCAAAATTTTTTTTTTACATAGAAGGCAAGGAAGTACCTCGAATTACAACATGCATGTTGCACCGTGAAACTATAAGGTTAGCACGAACGAGACAATTGTTTGTAACGGTCTTACTCATTCTCGGTTTCCCTGGTTAAGGAAATCCAAGTGCTTACGTTTTATAAGATTTCTTTTGCGCAACTCAACTTTAGAACGTTCCGACGTTTTGCCTAACCTGTGCCGTGTTCACGAAGTATTGTTAAGACCTCGACTTACACAAGAAAACATTATTGCTTTGATCAGGAAGGAACACTTTCTCATGTTTCGGCTGAAGCGAACAACTAAAGCGGCAGTATCTTAGGCAAATAGCGTTAATTTTACTTTACTATATCAATGGGTGTCCGTGAAGCAGAAGAGCGCGAAACACTTGAAATTAAGTCACGTCATGAGGTTGACACAACACGATTGATAGATCCAGTTTCAAGTAGTCAACAACGTAAAGAGAAAACGACTTCCCCGAGCTCTCCCGAGAAATCGAGACATCCAAGTAAAATCAACCACACGACAGCTTCAGCCTCGGTTGTTTCTCCCACGAAAAAGTCGCGAAAGTCTTCTGCAACGACCTCGACGCGAAGTCCTTCGGCCTTATTTTCATGTTCATATCTCATAATAATAATATTAGTTGTAACTGTTCTTTTGTTGGGTGTGACCTTGGATTCATTTCTTCACCATCAGAAAGACCCTATAGGATGCGAGGTTTCGTACATGTATCCGGAGTACATTAAACAAGTTGGTTTTGATAGTGAGCAAACACGATTTGCGGGAAAATATGGACTTTATCTGTATAAAGATTTGTCGTACGATCGTGGTGATCAAGTAAGCGAGTATTTTAAATTAAAGATTACTAGCCAAATTAAATTGATGCGTCAATGCTGATATGAGTTTATCTGGAAAAGTGAATTTATTCAAATTACGAATAACCAAAGATTTTATGACGATTGCTTAGCCCATAGGAATTCCGGCCCTTTTCATTCCAGGAAATGCCGGTAGCTATAGACAGGTTAGATCCATAGCTTCCGAGACGTCAAAGTTATATTACGGGAACAGATCGGAGCTATGGAACAATGGTTTAAGGTCAATCGATTTTTTTACAGGTACCTTCTAATTATTATTTGACGAGACGTATTAAGGCGAGAATACTCATTTTAAAAATTTTTTTTTTCGGATAACAGTTGACTTTAATGAAGAGCTTTCTGCATTTCACGGACATTCCCTTCTCGAACAAGCGGAATATATCAACGATGCAATCAGGTACATTTTATCATTGTACCCATTGGTTAGAAAGAACCAACAAACTGGACCGTCCTTACAAGTTTATCCCGATCCTACCTCCGTGATTATAATTGGTCATTCAATGGGAGGAGTAGTTGCAAGAACTTTATTTACCATGCCAAATTATCAACCCGGATCCATCAACACAATTTTGACGATGTCATCTCCTCATCTATTACCACCCGCCCCGTTCGACTGGCAAATAAGCAAAATTTATACGGACATTAATGATTTTTGGAGAAACGGCTATTTCCAAAATTCAACTCGAAATTCGCTAGAAGATGTAACTTTAATTTCAATCGCTGGTGGAAATTTGGATACCGTAGTCTGTTCCGACTCGGCCAATATAAGTCCTCTCGTTCCTGCGTCTCACGGATTCACCGTGTTCACCACATCCATCCCTAACGTATGGACAGCAATGGATCATCAATGCATCTTGTGGTGTGATCAATTGGTCGGGGTCGTTGCGAATTCACTGTTAAGTGTTGTTGACATCAGACGCGCAGAACAGACGAAACCAAGGCCAGAGAGGATGTTGGCTTTTCGCAAGGTTCTCTTAGGCGGGTTCGATGAGCCTGCCGAAGGTGGACACTATGAACCCAAGAGGGGTAAGTAAACCAACATTTCAAATGTGTACTGATACTACTTGTCAAAATTCCTTCTAAAAAAGACTTTTTTTTTTGATCTGCTATTGTACAGGATCTTTTGGAATCATAAATTTGGAAAAGCTGCCTCACCGGTTTTTGGATATGGGAGAGAGACTTGTGTTGAACAATTCGGAGTCAATCCCACGAGTATATTTGATGTCCATACCACCGTCAGCGCCTCACTCTGCCTTAAACGCATTTTCTCTTTTAACCGATCAGTCTCTTTCTGAAGGTTCTGGGCTTGATATACTCTTGTGTCACGTAATGCCCACGGAAGTACCTGAGCCTCATGGCAAAGAAGATTTTTCCGTAAATGATTTTTTATTGCCTACTGCGCCCAGACTTTCTTGTCACATAGCACGTAACGATATCTCATCGGTACCGGCGTCAACATTTGGTGTGAAACAACCTTTTTCTGGGAAGACTTTTAGCTTTTTGAAATTGAAAGTTGATCAATTAATAGATTATCAGTATATTGCCGTCATGTTTCGCGAAGATTATAAAATGAAGGGTTTCTTGATCGGAGAATTTTATGATGAGAGGATCACAATGATAGACTTTAACACAACGATTAAAGGTCAACCATTAGAAAATTATCATCTGTCAATTTTAGATTCCTTTTAATTCAATATAATGCTGACCAAATATTTTGTCATTAGATCTTTTCATGTACGGGATTCATATTGACATATTTCCCGAACACAGTTCTCTAATATCGATGCTTCGAATTCCTGTTATCGAAAGTAGTTTATTGACTTACAAAATGTCTGTCCGTCGTACTGAGTGTGATGGTAAGTCTGACTGAATTAAATTAATTACCTTTACTTTGGTATTAAATTTATTCAATTTCACCAGGCAAACAACTCTTCGCACCATTCTTGAGACAATCGATTTCCTCGATGTATGAGTCGAAATTTCTAGTCAACGTCGAAAACGTGGATATAAATATTCACGGACAGGCGGCTTTTTTCACGCCTGCCATTGCTCCACACATGAAAAGAGGAATCGAGTTACAATTCTGGACGGACCCTACGTGTTCTGCACCATTGTCTGTTGATATTGTGTTGGATTGGTATGGAAGTTTTGGAAAGATGGTTATGCGCTTCCAAACCGTTCTGGCTGCGTTTCCTTTCGTCACGATTATGATGACCCTGAGGGCTCAACTGAGAGAATATAACAATGGAGGTAGCGAATGCTTAAGAATTACTTTGGTCGTTATTCTCGTTCGTGTTCACTCATAATCATCTGTTCTAGAACCGTTTCCGAGTTTTGTTTACGGGTTGTCACTTTTCGTTCGCCAAACATTACCAAAGTTACTTGTTGCAGTATCTGTTTTATCGATTTATCAGTCGATCGCTGTATTTCCAAAAACATATTCATTAGCAGAGCTATTTATTATGGATTACGTGCCCGAGGATTTACGAAAAATAGTCATGGATAGAGCTCCGCTCAACGTGAACGACACGTTATTGGGGAATAAAGACTTGTTTTTTTGGTTCCTGCCTCTCGTTTTCATCATTATTAGTATAGGTGTGACTACTATAGGTTGGTTTCTTTTAAGAAGCATTGTCAGGATATTGGCCGATTCCGCCGTATGCATTAATAAACGAAGCCAATTTATGACAAATTTAGTGGAAAGGTAAGTCGATTTGTAGCGTCATTGCTTCTGGAACTGCACGAGATTTTCAAGAAAACCTTTTACATGCATACCTTCTCAGATCACCCGAACCAAAAAAATCGACAATGCGTCGTCGCGGTGTAACGACCATTATTCTCCTTATCTTAGTGGCTTCATTCGTGCCTTATCAATTTGCGTTCGTCGTTGCATTTTTGGTTCACATCGTATCATGCGTTCGATCCTTAATTGTAACCCGAAAAAAGGTATTGGCATTTGACATGCTGTTCGTGAATTTTTCCCATTTCGATCCCTAACGTTAATTGTTTGTCTATTCATTATAATAGCGTAATGCGCACGAAAACTGGAATCATTACCATTACTTGCAATCGATACTTTTACTGTTCTTTATTCTTTTGCCTTTTAATTTGCCGGTTTTGATGGTTTGGATAAGGAATATGTCGGTTCATTGGTTTGCACCCTTCTCATGGGATCACAATATAATGGCCATTGCCCCCGTTATACTTTATGTTGAAATTGTGACTAACGGTAAAATGCTGCCAAGAACGACGGGGAGGTGAGAATAATTATACGCATTTATTTCATTCCTTCATCTAGCTCGGCTAGCATTCATTCTCACATTTTTACCATTGTATTGTCATGTTAGCAAATATCGAATTATAACCAGCAATCTATTACTTGTAATATCTATTTATACGTTGTTGTATGGGGTGCGGTATACTTACTTGATTTATTTTTCCTCCTTGGTGTTCATATCATGGCTGATATTACTTCACATCAGAGAGTCATGTCACAACAAAAAAATATACAGTTACCTGCAAGATTTATTATTCAAAAGAAACAAGAAAAGATCCAAAAAATTTGGAAAATAAAAATTTTTTTTTAGATAAATATGTATTGTATAGTCCTTTGTATTAAGCTCTTTTTTTTTTTTTTGCGCTTCAAATCAAGTTTATGTCTCGCAGGCGTTGCGTAACATACACGAGCCATTTAACATTTATTTTTTCACGCGTAAGCGCCCGGATGTTAAACCCAGGCTGATAAAAACAATTTGTTATACAAAAAATTCAAAAAATTACAGCATGCGTTCGTACGCTGACAAAGGATTAATACAGCATATATGCGTGACTTTAATCGTTCCCAAAGAATTTTTTCCTTTTCTGTCGTTTGTCTCCCCTCTCATATTTTCGTTTCAATGAACCTTTCCTGATCATCTGCAGCTGTTCATTCGTGACATTCGTTGACAATTCTTCATCCGACTCCACGACGCGCTCTAAAACATCATGAGCCACGTTTGAAAACAAGGTGTCGATTGATTATTGAAAAGAAAAAGAAGCAAAGCGTGAGAGATACCTCCAGAAGGTTCCATCGCGCATTCCGTAGAGTCCGGAGACGATATCGTCACGCTAGATTCATCATCCGTCACCGTGGACTCTGAAATTTTGGTAGAAGTCTTAATATTAAAAGAGCAATTATCACGCGAGATATGCATACCATCGCGATCGGGCTTTTGAATTTCTTTCTCCGCATCATCATCATCATCATCATCATCGTCGTCGGTGTCATACTTGTCATACTCGGGCTCCGTAATTTCCCATCCTAGAATTAACGCGCGTCTATTTATTAACGGACGAATGGGAGGAGACGACGAGAATTGAAAATCAGACCTGGAGTAGCATCAAGTATCTCTCGTTGGTCCGGTGGAACGACCCTGCATGACATGGAATCTATCCTCTCCTCTAATCCCTGGCAACGACGGGCAAAGATGACTTAACGGTTTTATTCCGATCTGTATTGTCAAAAGGGGGTTTTTTTTTTTCACTATTTCTACCTTCCATCCGGGATTTTCAAAAGGATTTCCTTTTTGGATTTCGGTATATCTTATTCCCATTTGACAATCCATATCATCACAAATATATTTTAAAGAGTATTCGAGTTCCGGAACTATATTTGTAGAATAGTTGAAGTTCTCGATCTCTAAAGTAATATTGTTGATTATGTCTGAAGACGGGTCGATATGGTGAATTATGGTGAATTCACGAATAATTATGTTTGCACCTTTTATAGATGCCAGGGCAGTACTATTTTTGCTGAATGGCGCGTAAAAAAAATTTTTTTTTTGAGTTTGAATCAATTGAGAATAAAGCGAATCCGCAGCTTAATTTTCTACAAAAAGTCAACCGACAGGTGGACAGTTTTCAAAGAAAAATCAGGTTATGGGACATGATCCCATAACTCAAATTTACTAATTCTACCCTCGGCATCCAGGCCGGCAATGAAAGAGGCCTAGTGGAGTCACGTTTTTTGAGATTTCACAATGTACTTGGACTGCATGTGTAGAATAATGGAATTGAATGCACTGACCTCTCAAAATCTTTGACGCAAGTTTCGCTAAAGCAGCACCGAATGTAGTATTGTGTGTCGTGAATCTCCGCGCGAACAATTCTGGCGTTGGTGGAATTCGGTGCGCTATAGGATGCGAAAAACTAAAATCCAATAACGATCAAACTGAAATGACAATTTCTTATTTCAAGGTAACACCTTTTCTACATACCCGGAGTATTTGAGCTCTCACAGATTTTCTACTGCGCTCACCGACCATGTAGAGGCTATCCAATACACAATTTTTTATCCATGGTTTGTATAAAAAACGAGACATTTATCTGCAGATTCCAGCACGAACAAATTACGAATTTGTAGACCTTATAAACAACTCCCATTTGCATATATTATGTACTCCGACACTTGAAGTAATAATACTCCATAATTATATAATCAAATGACCTTACTGATTTTATAGTAGAAGGTTAATCCGAATTTACTTTTTTGACTACCAAAGTATGGAATATATATTATAAAAAGCAATACCAAACACTACATGCATATTATATAATCATGTCTCCCAGCCACTTTCTCTTTGCAGGTGGTCGATGTGAGATCAGGCAAGCCACTTGTTAATATTATGAATCGGAGTGCGCGCGCAATATTCGAACTTTAATGCAGCGAAAATGAATTATAAATTTTTTATTAAAGTTTGACGACAACGGAAACCTTATCGCAACGGAAGGTAAAACCATAAACTTGTTTATGGGTGTTCGTCCCTTGGGGGGTAGGTGAAAGAAAAAACAAGATTTATCCTGTCATCAACTTGTGGATGATATAATCAAGCATACCATTTTGGGGGCTTGAAGATCATTTTGGATTTAACCACGAGGACAATTGTTGTATATTTGTTATTGTGCAAAATTTTCTGACACACTGTATAATTAAGGTTTTTTGCTTTTCTTTTTTCTCCTTATAGTCGGTCCGATCATCGCGGAATAATCCCCAACCGAGAATTCACTATTTAGTGAATCAAATTTTCTTTTTGCCATTGAGCCTCTCGAGATTGTTGTTTCATTTTTGATCTTGTTCTTTCTCTTCGTCGTCGTCTTCTTATCTTTGTTACTCTCATCGGGATGAGGATGGATGTCCGATGGTGTCTCTCGAAGCCCAAAACTTTTAGCTATATGACCGAGATGCAACTTCTTGACATGGAAGATGTGTTTTTCCGAAGACGAATGTGTAGCGTACGCTCTAATGTACGATAGAAAAGCTTTTCGAGCTACTTCGGTGCTCTTAAAGATGCAGTTTCAGTGAAAAAAGTTGGTCAAATCAATAATGATGATAAGATGTGTATTCTTCTTACCTTTGGATTTGAAAGAACGTGCCCTTCGAATTTCAGCTGAATATCCGTCGCCTCGAGTTCATAACTCTTACTTTTACTTTCATGAGTCAAGCCTTTTAACAAAGTTTCCACTTGAACCGGTTCAGCGTGAATTTGAAATGACTTTAAAGCATGAATGTATTCGATCTCGCTTGGCAATAAAAATATTATCGCTTCACCTCTCTTACCCAACCTCGCTGTTCTTCCCACGCGATGAACATAGTCCTTCAAGTCAGTTGGAGGATCGTATTGAATGATTTTCGAGACATCAGGAAGGTCGAGGCCTCTAGCTGCGACGTCCGTGCAAAATAATATGCCGGCTTCTGCTTCGCTAAAATTATTGAATATTTCCGTGCGAACACTTTGTGACAAGTCTCCATGCAATTTATAAATCGTTGTCTCGGGAATCATCGTGCTCGTGTCACTTGAACCTTTTGACAATTCTTCATCTGGAGCTCCCGAGTTAATCGATTCCTTATCGTCTGATTCATCTGTCTCTTCTTTTCTAATTTTCCCAGAATGGCAAAACAAGTCGAAATGAAAATCGACAGAGTCTCGGCACGACAAGAATACGATGATCTTTTGATCTTTTGAAGTTTTCGCACGGAAAGTGGATTTCAGTATCGCCGTTAAGGTCACCAGGCGTAATTTTGCCGGTGTTATCACGTAAGCTTGCTTCAATTGGTTGGGAGTTGTATAATTTGAATTTCTGGGGTCAACATCCTTCTCGCAAGGATCGTTTCCTCTTATGAAAGTTGGATTGATCAAACTATGCCCGGCTAAACGCTGAACACCATCTCTCAATGTGGCTGAGCAAAGAATGGTCTGTCTCTTCCGCGGTAATTTGGGCGATGTGAAAAGTTGATTCTTTGAATAATTCTGAATATCATCCTTGGTTCTTTCCTCGAGCACTTTCAATATTGACCGGAGGGTTTCTTCGAACCCCATTTCCAAGAGACGATCTGCCTCATCAAGTACTAACCAACGTAAATTTTTCACTAGAAATGATTCGGTGTTTTGAAGGTGATCCAGTAATCTACCAGGAGTGCTAACCAGAATGTTTATGCCCTTGCGAAGTCTTGCTTTTTCGGAGTGTCTCTTCTCACCCCCTGTTACTGACCCAGGAACTATCCAGTGTTTGAGGTGACGTGTGCAAAGTTTTGATGGGGGTATGTCGACCAATGAATTTATGACCGCTAGAATTTGCTTCGCCAATTCTCGTGTTGGTGTCAAAATAATGGCAAGTGTTCCGACTGACCTAGAAATAGGTAATGTTCTCTCTCCGATGCTTTGAATCTCTATAGTAGCACACATTAAACGATTTACAACTGGAAGCAGATACGTCAAAGTTTTACCAGATCCCGTTTCAGCTTGTATAACCACATCGGAATCGCCATCGTTTAGAATGGGGATTGCCCTTCGTTGTATATTGGTTGGATCCGCAATACCGAGCTTTTCTTTCATATTGGAAACCAAATCGTGATTCAACCCCATGCTGAAGAATGTCGAATCTCCCTTTACAGGTGCATTACTCGGTTGATCGTGAGTTTGCTTTGATGCGCTTGCATCCTGGCCAATATCCACTATCTCTGGGTTATATGTGAATATTGATGATATGACTTGAGTTTTTCCGATTGTTCCCGTGTTTTCCTTGATACGCAAACTTGTTCCACCATTTCGCTGCTGTATACCATCGATAATGGTATCCTTTTTAAACTTTGATTTTTCTGATTGTTTGTTCTCTGCTTTCACACTATCGACCTGGTGAGAACTTGTGACGTTCTTTTTCAATGACTTGCGGACTCTGTTTTTTTCCTTCCAGCCTCCACGCACTTCTTTTATTTTTGATCGAATACTTGTACTCTCCAAATGTGAATCTTGAAATACGAGATTCAAAACCAATTTATCATCACTCATTGTGGAAAGAAAAGCATAATGGTAAAAAAATTGGATGTGGTTTCATAGCATAGATCGGTGTAACAATGTAGATCAGTGGATGATGTAACTTCCAGATTGTAACACGTCTCGATCTCAACCAAAATGTCGGATTCGCCAACTTTGCCTTCCATATACGAACTAAACTCTCAAGATTATGACGCGTTCAAATATTCGATAAATGTTTTATTCGAACCCGCTCCACCGCTCGTAAACGTCCTCTACTCCCTTCGTCCCTTTGATTCGTATGCGTCACTAGTTTCAGCTGCGACCAAAATCATCCTTGATGATAACGGCCCTCTGACATATCAGCAAAAGCTTGAGGTCATCAATGCGCATCCACGTCTAGGTGAAAATAAAAAAAATTTGTCGGCAATGAGTTTAAAAGAGCAGGGATATACTAAAATGGGTGAGAGTGTAGAAAGCAGTGGCGTGGACGATGTAAACAAAAAATTACGTGAGTTAAACACGTTATACGAGGAAAAGTATGGTTTCAAGTTCGTCATATTCGTCAACGGCAGGTCGAGAGACGAAATTATACCCATCCTGAAGGAAAAGATCGAAAATGGTAATAAGGAGGATGAATTAGGGAGGGGCTTAGCGGACATGATGAACATCGCCTCAGATCGATTGAGAAAATTGAACAAGGAATGACGAATTATTGAAGACTCCAAATAAAATGTTTATATATTTTTGTTTTTAATATAATAACTTTGTAATTACAGTACGATGCAATTGTAAAGAATTCTGAATATTAAAGTATAAATTTAATAAATGACATATTAAAGGTTAGAAAACCTATTCAAATAACTATATTATCTGTTGATTTTCTAATCATATGCAAAAAAGATGTTCACACAAAATTTTGCAAAATTTTTTTGTCAATAAAGCTTTAATTTTATCTTTAAAACAACTTGAAAAGTCTTTCAATATTTATTACTATCTCTTTCTTTTTTGTTTATAAATTTTTTTGCAATTTTTTAATAGGTAAAAAAAGTCAAATGATATTTTTTTTTTATTAATGGCAAAAAAGATTTTAAAAGATAAAAAATATCATATATTTAAAACAAGTTATTGTAAATATTTTAATAATAAAAAAATTTGATTTTTCTTTTTATTAATTATTCTATTTTTTTTTTTTTAATCATTAGTTTATTTCTGTATCAGTTTAAAAGCTTTATTATAATTAAGATATAGTATATCCTAGTGACAACCAGGATAAGTAATTATCCATGTTATCTAAGGATTTACAAATCAATAAATAGTACTAGTGATTACAATAAATCAAATTAGATCAGATTTTAACTAGATTTGATTCAATCTAGTTTTTATAAATTCAAATCAGATATAAATCTGATTCAGTTTAAACTGATCTGATCTGATTCAAAACTATAACAGTTTGATCTGATTTGATTTGATTTGATACAAAAATAATTTGAAATCGATTTGATACATTTTAAACCTATTTCAAAGCATGTTTAATCATAACTGCTTTGATTTAATTAAATTAAATTAAATTAAATATATTTAAATTAACCTGATTTTATTTTAATAAAAAATTTTTTAACTAGTATATTTTCTTTTAGAAATATTTTTTAACTTTAAATTTAAAAATTTTTCTTTTATTAAATTTAAATAAATTCATTTATTCAACCTATAATTATTCATTTGCTTCTATATTAATATACTCCCTACTATAGCCAATACTCTCTAAAATAACTTGCTTTTTATATTGTTTTTTTCTTTATTTTTTATTATCAATATTTCAAGTACTTGCAAAGCATATTAATTTATTGATAATTGATTATAATAATAATCCATACCATATGCTACTTTTTTATCTTCTTTCTATTTTTTTATAGCTGATACTATTTTTTTATCAAATTTTAAGACAAACCACAAGTTATAACTTCTATTAGTAATACTGTAGTACTATACAATTCATTTTCTAGTTGGCAATAAAAAGTATTTTATAATAAAAATTGTGACAATTTTTTTTTTAAACATGCTAGCTCATTCTTGTGCCAGCATCAGAACCTTTATTAATTATTAAAATAGATTCTAGAAACAATTGGAATAAGTAATTATCTATACTGTCTAACAATTTACAGATCAATAAATAGTACAAGGGGTATCTATTTCTATCTTAACCAACCAGAATAGAGGAACTATGTAATCATCTAGTGTAGGATTTTTTTTTAATTGTTAACAAAGTCAGAGAATCTGGTAATGTTTTAACCAATCAATTTAATAGAATACCATTCAGTTTTAAACTATGTTTATCAAATCTCATCCAATTGAAGTAACACTCTCTAGAACTATAATCCATCAGATGACTTATTGCTATCCCTGTGAAGGGAGGCTAATGTGTTAAGAACTTGTCTAAAATGCCTAGTACCACTAGTATCAGGAATCTATTATACAGGGTTTTTATAAATTCTATTAGTATGTACATTTTTATAAGGGACTTGTCTTGTTTTTGTTATCACTTGTCCTTTATAGCAACCTATCTTTACATCTTTTGTGAAATCTGTCTTGTATTTTCTTAAATACTGGAATACCTTTTTACCCAATTTTGCTACTCAAATAGAGGATCAGTCTTGATTAAGAATGTCATATCACTTAGCCTTACCTTTTTTGGAACCTGTTTTAATAGTCAGCTTGCATATCAAGTTGATTTTCTGTCTTGTTATGTGTATAATAAGTAGTTGATTTCTTGTTATGGCCATACTGGGATACTGAATCATTACTATGGAATAGATAAGATATTTGTGTTACCGATAGCTAAATTTCACTTGGTTCTTATATGGTATTAAACTCTGGATTTTGTAACTGTGACCTGGGAGCACTACCATTGTACTATAGATCCACAGATAAAAAATTGTGCCAATTTTAATTTATTAATAACTTAAATTTTTAATAATTTGTAATGTTTAAAAAATACCTATCATTTCAACTTTAATTCCTTATTTAATTATATAAAAGTTGCCTCCATTAAAATTTCTTTTACTGCAGGCAAATTCTTTATTATTAATAGGTTATATTTCTCTTAGACAAGTAGCTACAATTGCATAGTTCAAAAAATTGAGGTCAGTGTGAACAAATTTACTATATTTTCAAACTATATAGGTCTCATATAGATCTAAAGAATAGTTTAAATATATTTTTTTATTATTGAAAGCAACTATAATTTCTTTGTCAATAGCATTATATTTGTTGATATCTTACTGAAGTTGATTGTATTCTTCTATTTTTTTTTGTATACTTGAGGTCATATCTTTAAGAAATATATATATGGCATAGTTGAAAAAAAAACTATTCATTACTACAACTTTCTCTTCCTACAAATATTGTCTTTCAGACCTTCGTAATTCAACTAATATATTATATATATAGATAAAAATTCTACTTTCTCTTATCCAAAGATACCTGTAAACATTAATATTAATAAAGTTTTAAAAATTAAAAACTTAAGTTTAATTAAATATATATTCTGCAACTGTTAAGACATCTTGATCCAATTCTTTGATTTCTGATAATTGGATAACTTGTTGATTCAAAATTACATATCGATAATTGTGCTTCTCATAAGTTTAAGTACATTAGAACCAATATAATTTCAGTATATAATCAATATTACCTTGTTAAAAGTTTTATCACAAATTATTATTTCTTCATTTTTTTTTTATTATTCTTGGAAGACAGGAGATAGCATTGATCACAGGTATATGGAAAGACAAGGAATTTATTTTTTCAAATATTTACTTTCCTTTTATTTTTTTTTATTATAATCAGGAAGGAAGTCAAGATATATTATTTTTACTGCATATACCTTCTCAAGATACTTTTGAATTAATAAATTTTTTTGACCTATAATTTAGTTAAGTTAATATAGTTTCAAAAAAATTGCAAAAATTTTAACATATAAAATTTTAACATATAAAATTTTTATTGAAATTTTTGTATTATCAATGTTAATCCTCAAAGCAGTAGCAACATTTTTTAAATTATTATTATAAGTAACCAAGAACCTTGAAAAATTTTTTCATCAGTTGACCCGATATTATTTATTGTTAATAAACTTGAAAATATATATAAGTATTTTTATTATATTTATATTCTGATAAGTATTGATATTAGAATCAAAAATGATCAAGTGAACATTTAACAAGTTGTATATTGATTCATTTAAAAAAGTAATATATTTTATTGGATCATTGTATTTTTGTGATATAATAAAATGGAAAGCAGCAATAAAAGTTTCTAAATTACTGTAAGGCATTAAAAATTAGCTTAATATATATAGTATTCTACTAATATAAAAAAAAATTGACAGTCAAAATGTAACCTGTTGTCAATAAAATTTTATATGCTAATCCAGGATTTTCCATTAAAGACAAATAGTATTGACTGGCATTTGCAAGTAATGTATAACAATAACTTGTCTACACTAGTTCAGGATTTTCCATTGAAGATACAAGATATTCTTATTACACTATTTCTACCTTAGTATTAACATAAGTATAGACTGCTAATCCAGGGTTTCCCTCTAAAAACAACATTGATATTGCATTAATACTTGCAAGTAATAATGAGTTCCTAAAGTATTTAATATATAAAATTTCACAAATTACTTATGTTCCTTTTTGAGGGACAAAATTTATAGCTCTTCATTTTAATAGAAAAAAAAATCAGAAAATACTATAAATCAATGGTTTGAATAATGGTGAACAATTGTGAATAGTTTTTTTATTATTATTAATTTAAAAATTTTAATGTTTTCTAGTAAGAGATATTTAATTTTTATTTTTATCTCCCCCTTTAGGAATTCATCTTTACTTGCAAGTATTATCTTATATCGATATGAAACTACTTACACTAGTTCAGTGTTACCCACTGGAGATATATAGTATGCTTAATAGATACAGTATATAAAGGGTATATCAATTTAAAAATTTCTTCTACTTAGCTTTTACAGAAAGAAATTAATGATTTTTTATAGCTTTTTAACTTTTGTTGACTGGATCCATATTACTTAAATAGTATTATAATTAATATCAGTAGCTATAAAATAATAACAAAATATTACAACATCAATAAATATTGCTTATTTGTTTATAGTATAAGCTAAAGACTTGTAATCAATTATAGTTAAGGGTTGAAAAAACTGGAAATCAAAAATAAATATTATAGTTAATACTAACAAAAATAAAATAATGGCAATAATATATTTATCTATAGTAGTAACCTGTGGACAATAATGTTAGAAGTTAGAAGGGTTTCTACTTGAGCTACTAATAGAGTAATAAATCATTCTCAAAGTTACACTTAGAGTCCTAAATAAATATAAGATTTTGACAAGTAAGTTAATTAGAGATTTAGCTTTAGCAACACATATATAATGTATAACTTACAATTGTTTAATAAAGCATATATAACTAGCCTGACAGAGAGTCATAATAAAAAAAATAGCAATAAATTCAATTTATTGAAAAAAAACTCTTTCCGCTGATTCTCCTTTTTTTCAAAAAATTTCCTTTTTTGGTAATTTTCTTGAAAAAAGTAAAACAGTTCAAACACACAAGGAAAACAACATCTCCTTTG